TGTGTAGTTATGCAATTATGGATATGGTTCTCTGTGAACAAGCACTTTAAGAATTCTGAATATGGAGTTTTGTAATTATGAATGTCCAGTTCTGAAATTATGAATATATGGATATGAAATTATGAATGTGTAGTTATTATTATTTCTAAATGTACTGTTGTCAAATTATGAATATATAGTTATCTAATTTTAGACATATAGTTATGTAATTCTGGATATATAGTTATGAAATTGTGAATATATAGTTATGAAATTGTGGATATATAGTTATGAAATTATGAATATATCCTATTGTTTGAATACAAAAGGAAACCGCCTAACGCCGTTAACGACGATACGAACGAGCTTTTAAAAAAAATAAATAATAAAACGACGTCGTTTTGCAACCGTGTGCACCATGCATGGTACTGTTGTGAAATTATGAATATATGGATATGAAATTATGAATGTGTAGTTATTATTATTTCTAAATGTACTGTTGTCAAATTATGAATATATAGTTATCTAATTTTAGACATATAGTTATGTAATTCTGGATATATAGTTATGAAATTGTGAATATATAGTTATGAAATTGTGGATATATAGTTATGAAATTATGAATATATCCTATTGTTTGAATACAAAAGGAAACCGCCTAACGCCGTTAACGACGATACGAACGAGCTTTTAAAAAAAAATAATAAAACGACGTCGTTTTGCAACTGTGTGCACCATGCATGGTACACACGGTTACACAGCATAACGATTGATATCGCTCAAAGTAAGCACAATCACTTGAATAGTTCATCTATAAACAGAACAACTTTGATATATATATATATATATATATATATATATATATATATATATATATATATATATATATATATATATATATATAATTGCACTCAGGTACGAATGAAGCGCTTAGGAAGGAATATGCGAACGAATCAGCGCGCGACACGTGGCCAGATTTAATAGATTAAAAAAAAACGCAGTGGAATTTTCGTAAATAATTGAACATTTAAGTGCAAGTAAAATGTATTACAAGTGCATGTAAAATGTATTATAGGTGCAAGTAAAATTTACACTGGGCATCAATACTAAGTGCACCTATAGTTATAAGTAGTTCCACCTATAGTCAAGGTTGAAAAAATCGCTAGAGTAGTTGCACCTAGAGCGCCTAGGGCACCTAGGTGGCCGACCGCCTAGGCCCGATTTTTGCAACACTGCCTATAGTTATAAGTAGTTGCACCTAGGTGCATGAATGTTTGCGGGAAGTGAATGTTAACAAGGCAAACTTACATGCACTTATATGTGAGAGTAGTTGCACCTATAGTTATAAGTAGTTGCACCTATAGTTATAAGTAGGTGCACGCAGAAGGATGAATGTTTGTGGGAAGTGAATGTTAACAAGGCAAAATTACATGCACTTATAGGTGAAAGTAGCTGCACTTGTAAGTGATTTTACTTGCACTTTGATGTTCAATTATTTATAAAAATGCCACCGCGTTTTTTTAATCTATTAGATCTGGACACGTGTCGCATGCTGTTTCGTTCACATATTCCTTCCTGGGCACTTATTCACACCTGAGTGCATCCCTATATATATATATATATATATATATATATATATATATATATATATATATATATATATATATATATATATATATATATATATATATATATATATATATATATATATATATATTGTGTGTGTGTATGTATGTATGTATGTATGTATGTATGTATGTATATGAATACTTCAATATTCTCGATGATTGGATATTTGGATGACGTAATAGTTTATTCAGGTCCTATTTGGTAAAATAGTTAGCTTATAAGTCAATTTTGGCTTATTTAACCACAATTAGTTGTTTGATTTGGTTTAAAAATCAATATAAGTGTTTGGTTAATTAGCTTTTTGTACTCCAAAATGCTAAAATTAAAAAAGCTACTCAAAACAACTTTTTCAATTAGCTTTTTGAGAAAAGAAATTATACCAAACAGCTATCAGCTAACAGTTAATTTATCAAACACCTTTCTACAATCAGCTAATGTTATCAACTAGTTTTACCCTCTAATTAATCCAATCTGCTAATAGCTAACAACTAACAACTATCATCTAACAGCAATTAACCAAACAGAGATCTTTATTCTTTAGTTTTGTTTTTGTTTTTGTTTTTGTTTTTAAAAAAAATTCTTTCATTCATTAAAGTGAAAATGTGAAATTAACTAAAATAAAAAAATTATTATGTAACATATAATTCTCTCTACCCTGGTATTTAGGGTCTCTCAAACTCCCTACCCTGGAATCTAGGGTTTTATGCTCCTTGCGATCGGAATTTGCTAACGACGAGCGGAACGCGAAGCTTGACGACATGGATATTCAGGATATTGTTGACAGTGCAGCAGAGATCACGTTGGAGGAGGAGGATCTGAGTATCCGGTTTGAGGATGAGCCTACGGGCGGCCTTGATCATACGCCGGTGCAGCAGACTTGGTCGATAGTCAGCCGGTTCTTGACGGATCGAAGCATCAAGAACGAGATGATGAAGCGGGTATTAGCTAATGCATGGCGTCCAATAATGGGAATAGAGGTGGCGGACGTACAACCTAATCTCTATCTGTTCACTTTCTTCGATGAAGCGGACAAGCGCCGTGTGTTGGAGGAGGGGCCGTGGGCTTTCGAGAACGCAACCTTAATCTGCCAACCCCTTAATGGAGATGAGCATCCAACGCAGGTAATGTTGAATTCAGTTGACTTATGGGTACAAGTTTTTGATTTGCCAATTGGCTATCGCACGGAGAAGGTGTTGGAGAAGGTTGGGGATTTTTTTTGGGGTATACCTGCGGGTTGACGAGCGCAATTTTTTTAGGCCATGGTCTACGTTTTAGAGAGTGCGGGTGAGGCATGATGTTGCTATGCCATTAAAGCGCCGCATGAAGATGATACTCCGGGATGGCTCGTGGGCTTGGATAAATTTTAAATATGAACGTTTGCATATGTTTTGTTATTTTTGTGGAAAGCTTGGTCACATGGACAAGTTCTGCTTGGAGGCAAGGCATTCACCGTTGAAGCCTGAGCAGTATTTGTTTGGGCCGGTGTTGAAAGTAGGGGGGCATGAATTTGGCAAAGGTTTTGGGGGATAGGTGGTTCCACCTTGGGCAAGAATGGCTCCGGGAGATTGGTTTTGGTGGTGCTCCTGTTGGGGGTGTTCCGACAATGGGGGTTGTCGGGGCGGCGGGGAGTGACGTCTCATGTGGGGGAGCCGGAAACAGGCCGGGGGGTACGGCAGTTGAGGTACCAGGAGATGGGGTGGGGGTGGAGTTGGGTGTACGGGTGGACCCGACGCGGCGTAAGGGAGTGGATGGTGGAGTGGTGGAGGTGGCCAGGGATATGTAGGTGGATTCTAGTTCTTCTAGTTTGGTGGGACCTGGGGACCAGGCCCACCGTCCTCAATGAGTACTTTATTTTGGAACTGCCGTGGCTTGTGCAATTCGCGGACGGTTCGAGAAGTTGAGGACCTAGTGTCCAAAAGGGAGCCGGATTTTGTGTTTTTGATGGAGACGATGGTAGATGGGAGTCACGCTGAGAAGCTCCGTGTAAAATTGGGTTTTGAGGGGTGTTTCAAGGTTGACAGTGACGGCCGTAGGGGGGGATTATGTTTTCTATGGGCAAAAAACAATTATGCTAGCTTGATCAGTTATTCTTGTAATCATATTGACCTTGTGGTGTCTCTTCCAGGGAGGCCGCAATGAAGCCTTACGTGTTATTATGGTTTTGCACAGGGGAACAGGAGGAGGGCTGCATGGGATTACTTGAGATCACTTAAGGGGGCTTCTGAGTTACCTTGGGTGGTCTTGGGGGACTTTAATGATTTATTGGCCTAGTTGGAGAAGAGGGGGAAGATACCGCACCCGAATGGATTGATTGAAGGTTTTAGTGAGGCCTTGGAGGATTGTGGTTTGTTGTCTCTTCCTATGATTGGTTATCCATTTACATGGGAGCGGGGTAAGGGTACTGTGCACTGGGTGGAAGAGCGACTCGACAGGGTGGTGGCTTGTATGGATTGGCTGGGTTGTTATGAAAAGGCGAGGCTGTATAATATTCGTACAGATTCGTCGGATCATTCGGCTCTTTATCTGGATATTTATGGGTCGGTGCATGCTACTCGGCTGCGTGGTTTTCGCTTTGAGAACGCATGGCTGTTAGACGAGGGGTGTAGGGGGTGGTGGAGCAGGAATGGGCCAGTTCACAGGGGTTGAATTTGCAGGCTAGGCTTGATCTGTGTGGTAAGGGGCTGAAAGCGTGGGGTGGTGACCGGCATCACAAGTTTGGGAAATGGATTGGTGAGCTTAGAAAGGAGATGAATGCATTGCGGGGCAGCCGGGATCCTGTTTCATTGGCCCAGTTTGCGCATCTGGATAATTGCTTGAATTTAGCTCTATCCAAAGAGGAGGCTTTTTGGAGGCAGCGTGCTAAGCAGCACTGGCTTCAGGGGGCAGATCGGAATACCAAGTTCTTTCATAAATTCGCGTCACACCGGAGGAAAAAGAATGTAATTGAGAAGTTGAAAGATGATAATGGGGTCTGGAAGGAGGGTCAAGCCTTGGATTCTCTGGTCACCACATATTATAAACAGATTTTTGCTTCTGGGGGGACTCCAGGGCCTTTCAGTGTTGATTCTATGGAGCCGCGTGTGACTGAAGGCCAGAATGCTCATCTGTTGCGTCCGTTTGAGCCAGAGGAGGTCCGAAGTGCATTATTCTCTATGTGCAAAGATAAATCTCCTGGTCCGGATGGCATGAACCCTGGTTTTTACCAATCTTTCTGGGATGTTATTGGTAAGGATGTCACTTCTTTTGTGCTTAATTGTCTCTCTTAGTCATCTTTCCCTGTATGTTTGAATGATGCAAATATTGTCTTGATCCCTAAGAAATGTGTCCCTGAGCATGTGTCTGATCTACGACCAATTGCTTTGTGCAATGTGTTGTACAAGGTTATGGCTAAGATGGTAGCAAATCGTATGAAGCCTTTGTTAGAAGGCATTATTTCGGAGTCACAAAGTGCATTTCTCCCAGGTAGGTTAATCTCAGACAATATTTTAATTGCCTCTGAGGTTGGCCATTACTTGAGAAGGAAACAGCTAGGGCAGGTGAGGTGGGCCGCGTTAAAGCTTGATATGGCCAAGGCGTATGATAGGATGGGGTGGTCTTTTGTGAGGGATATGCTAATGGGTTTGGGTTTTGATGCAAAATGGGTTCAGTTGGTTATGATGTGTGCCCAAACGGTGCGGTACAGAGTTTTGGTAAATGGTAGGCCTACGGAGGAGATTGTGCCTACAAGGGGGTTACGGCAGGGGGACCCCTTGTCTCCTTACTTGTTTATCATTTGTGCGGAAGGGTTATCTTTGCTTTTGCAGGATTCTCAGGCTAAGGGTCTTATTCATGGTTGCAGGGTGGCCCGGGGGGCACCGCCCATTTCGCATTTGTTTTTTTGCAGATGACAGCCTGCTCTTCTTTAAAGCCAACCTGCAGGAAACATTGGAGGTGAAGAAGTGTCTGAGTGTTTATGAGTCTTTCTCTGGCCAGGCGGTTAATTTTCATAAGTCCAGTGTCTCTTTTAGCCGCAATACACACGTAGGGACACGGGAACTCATTTCGGGGTCCTTGGCAGTTACACAAGCTGATGATTTTGGGAAGTACCTAGGGTTGCCTTCTGTTGTTGGCAGGACCAGGAGGGCGGTTTTTGCTTATGTTGAGCAAAAGCTGAGGCAGAGGTTTGGATCATGGAATAAAAGGTTACTGTCCAAGGCAGGTAAGGAGGTTCTTTTGAAGAGTGTAGCACAAGCTATGCCGACTTATACTATGAGTATTTTCTTGCTCTCGGTTTCTTTATGTGTTTCTTTGGAGAGGCTAATGAACAGGTATTGGTGGGGGCGGAATAGTGAGGATAGTGGCATACATTGGTTAGCCTGGGATAGGATGTGTAAACCTAAGAAGTTTGGAGGAATGGGTTTTAAGCGTTTGCATGAGTTTAACCTGGCCCTGTTGGGCAAGCAAGGATGGCGGCTGCTTACTAACCCCGGCTCCTTAATGGCTCGGGTTTTTAAGGCAAGGTACTTCCCGACTACTTCTTTTTATGAGGCTATTTTAGGGGGTAATCCTAGTTACGTGTGGAGGAGCATTATGGCCAGTCAGGATTTGTTAAAGTCCGGTTGCAGGCGTAGAATTGGCAATGGTAGATCTACTCTAGTTTGGACTATCCCTTAGCTACCAGATGATCAAAACCCATATGTTGAATCTGAACAGGTGAATAATGGCCAATCATTGTTAGTCTCGGATCTGATTGATGCCCACACGGGTAGTTGGAATGGAGATTATTTACATCAGGTTTTTAATTCGCGGGATGCAATGCTTATATCGCAGCTGCCTGTAAGTATGGATTATGAGGATATGTGGTACTGGGAAGGGGATTTAAGGGGATGCTACTCGGTTAAGGATGGTTATAGGAGGTTGGGTTTTATAAACTCACAGCCTTCTTCTGTGTGGAATAATGTCTGGAAGTTGCAGGTTCCCCCCAAGTGGAAGGTTTTTCTATGGAGAGCCCTCTCGAATATATTGCCCTCGCTTGATAATTTGATAAATAGGAGGGTGGATCTAATTAATATTTGCCCATCATGTGGTTTATATGAGGAGTGTGTTATGCATATTTTATGTTCGTGCCCATATGCTATCAATGTTTGGCATACGTCTCAAATTCCAATCCCCTCTTTTGCCAACAGGAGTTTCATGCAGTAGACGGAGGAGTGGCTTGGTGGTGCAACAGGTTTTACTTGTGATATACAAGGACAAATTTGTGGTTTGCTCCATGTCCTTTGGGCCGCTAGGAACTCGGCGGTTTGGGAGGGTAGCTTGCTGGCACCACATTTGCTTATTCGGCGTCATGCGGCGTTCTGGACGTCTTGGATGGAATGCGAGCAGCGGCGGGTTGGTGCGTGCAGTAGGCACACCGCAGCAGCTTCTTCTCAGCCCCCCCCATGCAGCAGCAACGTTCCATTGTTACGTGGACGCAGGCTTCCACGGCTCACATCACGCCGCTGCATATGGCTTTGTGGTTTTGGATGGTGACTCCTCCTTTTTGGCGGCGGCAAATGGACCTTTGGCGTGTCCGTATGATCCTCTTCTAGCGGAAGCAATGGCGATGAGTGAAGCCCTCTCTTGGTTGAAGGATAACGGGTATTCAGGTGGCAGAATTTACACGGACTCATTAGTTTTAGTTTCAGGTCTTAATTATGCTAGTTCGTTTCGCACTTATTTTGGTTATATTCTATTGTCTTGTAATCGTTTAGTTAGTGCTTTGCCTGGAACATTTGTTAGTTTTATTAATAGGGATGCCAATCATGTGGCGCACTCCTTATCTAAGCATGTAACTGCGATAGCAGGACCGATCACTTTGGAGGGATATACCTCCGTCTTTTATTGAGCCTGTTGTGACTAATGCAATATGATTCATTTTGCTTTAAAAAAAAAAAACTAAAAAAGAAAACGAATGATTAAATCTTGAAAGTGAAAATGATTTCTGTTTTTTTTTTTTTTTTTTCTGGAGATGTCTGTTTTATAGATTTCAGGGTGCACTAATTACGAGCATTAGATTTTATTGTTAAATTGTTAAATTATACTCCGTATGATTTTATCTTTAATTAATCAATGTTTCAACAAAGAAGCAAAGAAGAGAGAGGAGAGAAAAATATGTCAAGTCAATCTCTACGTCTGTTTCAATGCTGACATCATACAAGTCATACAAGTAGTAATAAGACAGAAAGCTACAAATCTTACTAACTTTTAATATTTTTTTTAATGACCCTGGACAAATTAATCCTAGAATTCTCTTGTACTTATGATTTTGATGGTTTTTTTTTTTTTTTTTTTTTTTTTTTTTTTTTTTTTTTTTAACACAAACAAGTCTATCCAAATAGGGGTACTTCGACTTATATAATTATAATAATTAATTATTACGTGAATTATTCTAAAATTTCATCATTGACACATCAAATATCTTATAAAATACAAAACTCCAAATAATGATTATAATAAAACAGTAAGTTTTAAATTGTTTTTTTTTTCTTTGTTGGTAATATCTTGTTTAGATTATTAATTAGTAATCCAATTATGATTTCCTATTTAATATTAATTCTTAAATGTTTAATTAAATAAAATAATAGAATTATTAACAAATTAATATTTTAAAAGAATAACAGAACTTTAGTTTAATTAATTTATAGAGTAAATTTTTTGAATAATCTCTTGACTTTTGACTATAATGATTTAATTACTAAGAAAATAACACTTTTTGTCCTATGATTATTGAGGTCTTATTAATTTTAATCCACGACTTTAAAAACTAGCAATTTAGTACCCTAACTATGCAATTTTTAACAGATTTGGTCCATCAGACCAAATGTCGCTGAAAAGTTGTAAACCATTTTAAATTATATAATAATAGTGACAAATCGGTCATTCTAGGTTTTAAAAAAGGGAAAAGTTGGTTGCCCCGCCACCGCCTCCGTCGCTGCCTCCAACGGCAGTTACAACCATCTCAAGCCCTGATCAACCTCATTTCGCCGCATGATCCAAGACGCTGTATGTTGCAGAGTGGGTCAGTCCCTGGAGGCAGAGGCGGCAACGCTAAAATCGTTGTAAATAATAAATAATAGAATAATAATGTCGTCACACCAATAACCTGAGTGATGCGAATGATTCCGACGACATTGGCTACGACACTTTTTCTTCATGCTACCATGCCCGCGCCGTGGCAAACAATATGGGCAAATTATGCTCTGGACCCGTGTCCACATTGAATTGTGGACACGAGCTCAAAACGATGTCGTTTTTAAAAAAAAACGCTTATTTAGTTTAAAAAAAAAAATTCACGCGTGTTTTGCCGTTAACGGCGTTATTTTTTTTTTTTTTTTGATTATGAATGTACAGTTATGCCGTTATGAATGTACAGTTATGCCGTTATGAATGTACAGTTATGCAATTATGAAATTATGAACACAGAGCTCTAACATTATGAACTTACAATTATGAACATATATAGTGATAAAATTATGACCATGGAGCTTTAAAATTGTGAATATAGAGCTTCGAAGATTATGAATGTACAGTTATAGAGTTATGAATCTACAGTTATGGAGTTATGAATCTACAGTTATGAGATTATGAATCTACAGTTATGGAATTATGAATGTACAGTTATTGATCGAATTATGAACAAAGAGCTCTAACATTATGAACTTACAATTATGAACATATAGTGATAAAATTATGAACATAGAGCTCAAAAATTGTGAACATAGAGCTTCGAAAATTATGAATGTACAATTATGGAGTTATGAATGTACAGTTATGACGTTATGAATGTACAGTTATAGAGTTATGAATGTACAGTTATAGAGTTATGAACGTACAGTTATGGAGTTATGAATGTATAGTTATTAACATATAGTAATAAAATTATGAACATAAAGTGATCTGAAATTAAAAAAAAAAAAAAAAAAAAAAAAAAAAAAAAAAAAAAAAAAAAAAAAAAAGGAGATAACAGTGCCTAACGGCACTGTTACCCGTGTCCAGCAAGCATGCTGGACACGGGTCCAAGGCATAACGATTGAACAATATGCACGGTGGTCCTAATACATATGCATTTCTTTAATTTAGAATTATGTGACTACAATGTCTTTATTCAAAAAAAATTATTCATTATCAATAAATTAAATAAGAGAAATGATTTCATTAGTTATATTGTATTTATTTTTCTTCAATATAAAAATTCTTTACATTCAAATTCATCAATTGATTATATTCGCTACATTGTCCCTACAATGTCTTTATTTAAAAAAAAAAATTATTCATTATCAATAAATTAATTAAGAGAAATAATTTTATTAGTTATATTGTTTTTATATTTCTCCAATCTAAAAATTCTTTACATTCAAATTTATCAATTGATTATATTCACTACATTGTCTATTATCTTTTTTGTGCACTATTTTTTAATTAAAGAGTTAATACCTCCAATGGTTCTTTGAGTATTAGCGATTTACCAGCTGTGGTCATTCGAGTTTTGAATGACCTCCAATGGACCTCCATGTTTTAAAAAATAACCATCTGTGGTCCTAATTCTTAAAAAAAAAAAATATGAGTTTAAAATGACCACGGGACATCCTAAAATGACCATGGGTGGTTATTTTTTAAAACATGGAGGACCATTGGAGGTCATTCAAAACTCAGATGACCGCAGTTGGTAAATTGCTAATACTCGGAGGACCATTGAGGGTATTAACTCTTTAATTAAATATCAAAGTTATAGTACAAAATAATGCTATATATTTATTTACCAAGTATTTTATGAATACAATGAAAAAATTTAAAAAATATAATTAATAATGCCAATCATATTAACTACTTGAAGGATTTTTTGACAAAGAGAGTATTCAAATCACAGAACAAATTGAAGTGAGAACTACCTCGCAATGTCCTTGTTTGACAATCAGTAGTTAGGGTTAGCGTTAACAGATTATATTAGCGAATTTGACCAACGAATTATATCAACAGTTGGTAAAAAGATATTTGAAAAAAGTTGTTTAGATTAACATGTAAAATGACCTAAGGGTATACATATATTTAATAATAATAATAATAATAATAATAATAATAATAATAATAATAATAATAATAATAATAATAATAGTTTTAAAAAAATAAAAAATATAATTAAGCCAATCATATTAACTACTTGGGTATTTATTGACAAAAAGAGTATTCAAATCACACAACAAATTGAAGTGGGAAACTATCTCGCAATGTCTTTGTTTGACAATCAGCAATTAGCTCTTCAATATTAGTATATATTTAATATATTATGCCCTAATTTTTATTTACTCTCCCTTATTACCCGTATTTGGTTTCAACCATATCTATACAATTATTTTATTGACAATTATAATCAATCTGGACTACATTATCTTGCATATAAACTTAGAATTGTCTATTTAAATACGCAAATTTAACATTCAATTATCTATGCATGAACAATTCCAATATAATCTTGACTTGATATATTTTAAAGTACTTATTTTAAAAAAAATATTGGGCATTATCCCAATCGCGCAATGCGCGTAAAGAATTAGTATATATATATATATATATATATATATATATATATATATATATATATATATATATATATATATATATATATATATATATATATATATATATATATATATATATATATATACTAATAAGAGACAAAGAGAGTTAGACCTATAATGGGTAGAAAAAATGACGGTCGAATTTTATAATGAAATGAAAGACTCAAGTTTATCAGATTTTAATTTTTTCGTTGAGATTTCCTAATTTATCCTTAATTATATGATTATCTGTTAACTTTTCCGTTAAATATTATGTTCTTTATTAATTTTTGTTAGTTCACCGTTAACTTACTCATTGATTTCATTAAGAAAGGTCATTGGTTCGAACCCCATCCCAATCAAAGTTGGCATAATTAGTACTCTAATTTACTCTTTTTAAATTAAATAATACAATAATAATTTAGTAGCTACAACAAAAAATAATAAATATGCATTTCTTTAATTTAGAATTATGTGTCTACATTAATGCCTTTATTCAAAAAAAATTATTCATTATCTATATATTAAATAAGAGAAATAATTTCATTAGTTATATTGTCTTTATTTTTCTCTAATATAAAAAATTCTTTACATTCAAATTCATCAATGGATTATATTCGCTACATTGTCCCTACAATGTCTTTATTCAAAAATTTTTATCCATTATCAATAAATTAATTAAGAGAATTAATTTCATTAGTTATATTTTCTTTATTTTTCTCCAATGTAAAAATTCTTTACATTCAAATTCATCAATTGAGTATATTCACTACATTGTCTATTATCTTTTTTTGTGCACTAGTTTTTTAATTAAATATCAAAGTTATAATACAAAATAATGCTATATATTTATTTACCAAGTATTTTATTAATACCATGATTTTTTTAAAAATATAATTAAGTTCATATTAACTACTTGAGAGATTTGTTAACAAAGAGAGTATTCAAATCACACAATAAATTGAAGTGAGAAAATATCTCACAATATCTTTGTTTGGCAATCAGCAGCTAGCGGTTAGCGTTAGTGGATTATATTAACGGATTTGACCAACAAGTTATATTAACGGTTGGTAAAAAGATATTTGAAAAAAATTAACTATTTAGATTAACATGTAAAATGACCTAAGGGTATACATAATAATAATAATAATAATAATAATAATAATAATAATAATAATAATAATAATAATAATAATAATAATAATAATAATAATAATAATAATAATAATAATAATTTAAATAATAATAATAATAATAATTTAAATAATAATAATAATAGTAATAATTTAAT